CCGGGGGGGCTGGGGGGCCAGGGAGGGGACACTGGGGGGAGCAGGGAGGACATTGGGGGACACAAAGGGGACATGGTGGGTGCAGTGGGAGGGGTGGGGGGACACGGGGGGGACAGAGGGGACACGGAGCGGGGGACACAGTGCGGAGGACCACACATACCTTGGTGCTGGTGTCAGGGGTGCTCCTGCAGATGTCCCCAGTGTCCCTGAGAGTGTCCCTAAGCGTGTCCCCGATGTCCCCGGGGGCGTCCTTGATGTCCCTGAGGGTGTCCCTGATGTCCCCGGAGGTGTTCTTGGTGTCCTCAGGGGTGTCCCTGACGTCCCCAGGGATATCCCTGATGTCCCTGGGGGTGTCCTTGGCATCCCTGTCATCCCCGGGGGTGTCGGTGGTGTCCTCAGGGCTGTCCCCGTTGCTCTCCCCGTTGCTGTCCCCGTTGCTCTCCCTGTTGCTGTCCCCGTTGCTGTCACCATGGCTGTCCCCGTGGCTGTCCCCGTGGCTGTCCCCGCGCTGTCCCCGCAGGTGCAGCACCAGCTCCCGGGCCTGGCCCCAGCGGCCCCGCAGCAGCTCCCGCTCCCCCCGGCGCTGCAGCTGCAGCAGGCGCAGCTCGTCCAGGCGCTGCCGCAGCGACTGCGTGCAGTGACACAGGGCCCCTGACAGGGGACATTGGGGACATCAGCAGGGACTGCGTGCAGTGACACAGGGCCCCTGACAGGGGACATTGGGGACATCAGCAGCGACTGCGTGCAGTGACACAGGGCCCCTGGGACATTGGGGACATCAGCAGGGACAGCAGGGACTGCGTGCAGTGACACAGGGCCCCTGACAGGGGACATTGGGGACATCAGCAGGGACTGCGTGCAGTGACACAGGTCCCCTGGGGACATTGGGGACATCAGAGGGGACAGGGGACATCAGGGACTGTGTGCAGTGACACAGGGCTCCTGGGGACACAGAGGACATCAGCGGGGACAGCAGAGGGGACATTGGGGACACTGGCAGGGACAAGGCACAGCAGTGGCACAGAGCACCTGGGGACAGGGGACAGCATTGGGGACAGCAGTGACACAGAGCACCTGGGGACAGGGGACAGCATTGGGGACAGCAGTGACACAGAGCACCTGGGGACAGGAGGGACATCAGGACACTGGGGACATCGGGGACAGGAGGGACAGGGGGCATCGGGGACATCAGCAGCGACAGTGGGGACAGCATTGGGGACATCAGCAGGGATGGCTTGGGGACATCGGGGACACTGGGACATTGAGGTCATGGGGGGCATTGGGGACAGCATCAGGGACATCAGCGGGGACATCACTGGGAACATGAGCTGGGGCACAGGCTTGGGGACATCGGGACACTGGGGACATCGGGGGCATCAGGGACATTGGGGACATGGGGACACTGGGCAAATTCAGGGGACATCGGCAGAGTTGGGGACATTGGGCAGGTTGGGGACATGGGGCCATTGGGACATCGGGGGGTTTGGGGACGTTGGGGACATTGAGGCTCTGGACATTGGGGGGCAATTGTGACCTTGGGACACTGCAGGGACATCGGGGGGACAGCGGGGACACTGGGAGCACTGGGGACATCGGGGATGTTGGTGAAATGAGGGACATGGAGAGGACATTGGGGACATTGGGGACATGGTGGGGGGACATTGTGGGGTGGAGACACTGGGGACATGGGGGATGTGGGGATGCTGGGGGGGACATCAGGGACATGGGGGACACTGGGGGGACTGGGGACATTTGGGGCATTGGGGACCTTGGAGATGCTGAGGGCAGCGGGGAACCTTGGGGGCACGGGGATCTTGAGGGGGACACTGGGACATCAGTGGGGACACGGGGACGCGGCTGGGGACGCCCCCGTGCTCCTCCCAGTCCCTCCCAGTGCTCCCAGTTTGGTTCCAGGCCGTTCCCAGTCCCCCCGTCCCCGTTCTCACCCCTCAGCTCGCGGTTCTCCGCCCGCAGCCGCTGCAGCGCCTCCGCCAGCGCCGGCTCCGCCTCGGGTCCCGGCTGCACCATCTCTGCGGGCCGCCGCCAGCGCCCGCCGCTCATCGGCGGCTCCCGGGGGGCCCGGGCGCGGTTCGGGGCCGGTTCGGGGCCGAGCTCGGGCGGCTTTGGGCCCAATTCGGGGATTTTTGGGATCCCGGCGGCGCCGCTACTTCCTGCTTCCGCCGGAAACGCGTGACGTCATCGCGCTCCGCTTCACTTCCGCCTCGGTAAATGTCATGGCGGCGCCATAGCAACGCTGAGGGCGGAGAGCGCTGATTGGTTACGCCTCCGGTTGTAGCCCCTCCCGCGCTCGGCGGTGATTGGTTGATGAGGGAAGAGGCTCGGCGGTGATTGGTGCATAAGGGTTGAGGGCGCGGTGGAGGGCGTGGCCTCCGTGAAGGGATGGGGAGCCGCGCGAGCGTGGGGGAGGCGGCGCGAGCGCGGCCGGAGCGGGAAGGTGCGGGGGAACCGGGAAATTGGGAAATTCGGGGAAAATTGGGGAAATCCGGGGGAACTCGGGGGAACGTGAGGGGATCTGGGCTCTGGGATGGTCCGGGGAGTCCATGGGGGCCTGGGGGG